GCTCAGCCAGTGAGCGGGAACCGGTCTGTATGTGGGATCCGAACCCTCGGGCGGGAGCGCCGCCGCGCTTCCCAAGCGGCGCACTATCCAGTGCGCCACCGGGCCGGCCCCACTGTCATTATTTTTCACTTATCTTCATGTAAACTTTTTATTTAATGTATAAATACATGCAGAAAAGTGCAAAAATGAACATCCCATATAACCAGCACCAGATCAAGGAATGGAATATGACCGGAATCCTAGATTGCCCAGCAGACTCCCTTCCAGTCTCTACCTGCTCCAAGGATAGCCAACATCCTCATTCCTAACATATTATAGTTTTGACTGTTTTTGAGTTTTATGTAAATGGAATCACAGTGTAGATACTTTTTTGTATCTTACCTTTTTTGCTCAGCATTATGTATGAGATTCATCCATTTGGTTACATGTATAGTTTTGACTGTTTTTGAGTTTTATGTAAATGGAATCACAGTGTAGATACTCTTTTGTATCTTACCTTTTTTGCTCAGCATTATGTATGAGATTCATCCATTTGGTTACATGTAGTTGTACTTTCATTCTCATTACTATACAGTATTTTGCTGTGTACATATAGTATATTTTATTAATCTATTCTATAGTTGATGGACATTTGGGTTGTTTTCATTTTAGAGTTATTATGAATAGTGCTGCTATGCACATTCTTATACATGTCTTTTAGTGAACACACATTCATTTCTGTTAGAATTATATACTCACTTTTCTTTGATATATAGTTAGGAATGAAATTTGTGGGTTGTAGGTACAAGCATATTACATAAATGAATTTACTTAATCCTTACATTATCCTATGAGATAGTTACTTATATTATGTATGAAAATGTCTTATTTCACCTTCACTCCTGAATAATAGTTTGGCTGGTAAAAGATTTCTAGGTTTGCAATTATTTTCCCACAGCACCTTAAAGACAATACTGAAAAATGCCAATCTGGATTTTTTTCCTTTGTTGGCAATCTGACTTTTCTCTCTAATAACTGTTGTACTTTTTTCTTTTTTATTTATTACCAGCTGTGAATGTTTAAAAGTTCATCCTGCTTGGCACTCAATGGGACTTTTCAATGTGAGGGCTCATGTCTTTCTTCAGTTCTGGGAAACTCTCAGCCTTTTCTTTTCTCACACTGCTTCTCTACCATTCTCTGTTGTCAGTTTCTGGAGCTTATAATGGTATCCCCCATGGCTCTTCTTTTTCTTTTATCTTGTTCCACCTTGTTCTGTCACATTCTGGACTATGTCTTCATTTAATCTGTCACTTCACTAATTTGCTCTTCAGCTCTGTCTATTCTACTACTGAGTTATTTTATTTCAAACTTTAATGTTTTTCCTCCCAACGATTCCAACTGCTTCTTTTTTATGGCTCCCATTCTTGTTTTCTGTGTTATTTCCCCTTTATCTCTTTGAGCCAATAAAAAGTACTTCCTAAGTCCTTGTCAGATTGCTCCATTTGCTCTGTTTGCTCAGAAATTTATTCTTCCGCTTCCATTATTTTTGTGGGTCACTTCTGGTGTCTGTCCTCCTTAAGTGCTTTGTGGTTCTTGCATTGAGGTCCACTGCGGATTCCTCCCATAAGCACCCTGGGCAGTAGCACTTTTTGACCCGGCAAGAGGGCTCCTCCCTGACCTCATTCTTTAGAGCTCTGCCCATCACCATAGGGTGAGAAGTCCAAGGGACCATGCCTACCTGGAGCCACTCCCACCCTCAGGGACCCTGGAAACCCCTGCACAAATGGCTCCAAGCCCGCTTCCAAACTCTATCTGGGCTTCTCTTCAGGATTCACACTCCTGAGGGCAGACTATATGCTGCTGTTTGCTCACCCTTAAACCCAACGGGTGGATGAATGGCCGCTGTTTATAGGGATATGTGAACAGAGTTGGGAGAGAGAGCTGGGGTAACACATGCATGCACACAGGCCTGTCACAGTGCAGAACACAGCCATGTTGTGAAGAGAAAAGGGCAGGTCCCCAGCAGGCTCTCTTCTTGCCACCGCATGCCAGCATAGGATCCCAAGGGGTCTAAGAATTCTAATATTAAACTTGTCCTTTTAACTTGTTATAAAGATATTTGTGAAAAAGACAGAGCATATTTTACTTAATGGATATTAGCTTGATTTATAATTTTAAAGTATCTGTACATATGATCTGTGGGCCTCCTTTTGAGCCCCTGCCCAGGGCCCCAGGGTCCCCCAAACAATAGGAGTAGGCTTGATTCATAGAGGTTTTTATTGACACTTCTACCTCAGTTCTGCCAAGGGCAGTGCAACAGATTAGGATTTTTGTCCAGTGAAGCATTTCTGAGTCCCTGCTTGGCTCCTATCCTTCTGTAGCTCAGTGCTAAGAAGTAAAGCCCCAGGCAGGAGCACCTAACTCAGCTCTGGCTTTAATCTGAAACTGGCAGGCACTGCCTCCCCTGTGTGCAGGAGAAAGGCTCTTGCCCGCCCCAGTTCAGGCAGGTAACTTGGATCTGGCTCTCCACCATTCACAGCCCCTGCTCACCATCAAAGACTTCTAGTGATTTCTTTCTTTTAGGAAGAAGTCTCCACTTTTATACTGTGTATTTTTATCTTTGTTTTTAAGTGTGACTTCATTTCTCTTCTATATTTTTTATGTGTTCAGAGCAGAAGGATAGGTTTTAGTATATTTTTAATCCATCATCTAGGCCTGAAAGTAGAGCCTCTGCTTTATGCATGGGTTTCAGAAATTCATAATCTGGATTCATAAAGTGAGCCAGAAAACAAAGATCAAAACTAGAGCTCAAATATGAACATCTTCATTGCCTGGAATGCAGACTTGATTATTCCTATCTGTTATAATAGGGGAAACAAAAGCAATCTCATTTTAATAAAAATCATTACAGTGTACCAATTATTTCCATGATCTTGGAAGAGTTAGCTAACCTCTCTGGTTCTCAGTTTTCCCAGCTACAATCAATTAAGTTAGATAAGCTAATTACTGATAATTTCTAAAGGCACCCTTTCTTATTAATTTTTATTATTTCACATAGTACAGGCCTAGGCCATATTTTATTACATCCTAAAAGTGAATTTCTAAGTCAGAAAGATATTTAGCATTTCAGAGATAATATCAGAAGAAATCATTCAAATCATCCAATAAGGTATGTAAGAGAGCTTTGATAAACCATAAGCTATTTTGGCAAAGTAAGATAATATGATTACATGTATAGGAATGTGCATTCAGTAGTATACACTCAAAAAAAGGTTTATGGATAAAGGGGAAGTATGACTGCTAAATGAAAAGGAATCGATTCACTGGGAGAAACAAGTGAGAGGAGAAAGGTGAAATATAATAAGCTGAAATATAACTTCAGCTTCAGGTATAGAGCTATTTGCAATGAAAAGGGACTGTCTCTACTTGAATAAAAGTATCAGAAAAATTATGCATATATAAATTCGCTGTACTGAGCAAGAAACTTTAAACAGCAACACCGTAAGCCACAGTTGCCTGTGTGTGCCTCATTTCCAGGAACTCAGTAGCACATGTGGTTATCAGTACCGTCATCTGCAAATATTCAAGAGAATTACCAACTCACCCCATGTAAGAGTAGCCAGGGTCAAGAGCTCAGGAATTGAGTCCTGACATATCACATATTCTGGAGTGTACGGATCTGTTTGAACATCAGCATCCCGATAATCAGTCTGAGTGCTCACAGTAGACTTCGAAGGGATGGGTGCATACTTAGTAGAAGTGGGAGGAAGAGTATATGGTTCTGTCCTAAAAGGGAAAAATAGTTTAAAAATTGAAATCCAATATGATCACTTAAAATACTATATAATTAAGTAGAAATAAATCCTCGCTTTCAGTTACATACTCAATTTTATCTGTTTCCCTCCAGAAATGCAGGAGCAGAGAAAAGAAAAGAGATGGCTTCTGTTAGGAAGGAAGGAAGGAGGGAGGGAGGAAACCTCTTTCTAAAGGAAGCCTCTTTCTGGATAAATGATTCAATAATTAACACTGGGATCACTTGGTTAACATGTGGAAAAGTTACCTCACTCCTTGCACAAAAGTTAGTTCCAAATCTTTTAAAAACATTAATGTAAAGATGAGACTATAAGAGTATTAATAGAAATAATAAGTAAATATGTCAACTTTGAGTGAAGGTCTTTTTAACATGACTCAAAAGCCAGAAACTATAAAAGGAAATGATTAATAGAACTGAGGATAAGTTTAAACTTCTACCCCTCAAAATATCACAAACAAATTTAAAAGGTAAATGGCAAATTTAGAAACAGGTTTTGCAACATATATGATAAAAAGTTAAATAGCCTTTCTATATTAAAAAAACCCCCTGTAAATCAATAAGACAATTGAATACCCCACAGAAAAATGGATAAAGAATGATTCACAAGGAAACAGGTTTTGCAACATATATGATAAAAAGTTAAATAGCCTTTCTATATTAAAAAAAAACCCTGTAAATCAATAAGACAATTGAATACCCCACAGAAAAATGGATAAAGAATGATTCACAAAACACAAAGTAAGACGTCAGACAAACACATGAAAGATAATAAACATAACTAGAAATCAATTTATGAACATTCAAAAATGTCCACAATGCATTGTAAAGGAGAAAAAAAGGACACTATTATAAGTGGTATGGATAGAAGGATTCCATTTTTATATTTTTAAAACTGTTTTTATGCATAGAAAAATGCCTAGAGATGGATTTACAATATAATAATAATAATAGTAATTATTTCTGGATAGTAGAATTACAGAGGGAATTTTTTCATCTTTATAGTTTTCTGGATTTTCTATTTTTTTCTTTACCATGTACATGTATCACTTTTAAAGTAAGAAAGAAGAAAACATAGCCACTTTCATTTAAAAGAAAATGTTTTTTCTAGTTGACAGAAGAATTGGTTAAATTACATGATAAATAAGATAAAGAAAAAACAAAGAGATATTTCTATTTTGAAAAATAGAGGCAATGGGAGGTGCTTATATATGAGTACAGCATATACATACAGCTTGGCTTTAAGAAAAATGCATTTCAAGCCAGTTAGAAAGAAGCACCTATTTGGAGGTCCAACCTATCTGTTATGGGACAAGTACTTTAAATAGTTCTTAACGCTGAATTCTACCTGGCAGTGAAATCACTTCTCCAGTAGTTGCTATGAACTTCTAACATAGGTAGATAAAATAGGCATTTATGGCTTCTTATGTTTTCAGCAGAAATTATTATACCATAAAATTCTAGTTAAGGAGATAACTTCAAATTAGTGTTATATCATCCCAGATCACATAAGATTTTATTATATTATCACACCATTAGCTTGAATCAAGAGAATAAATGATTGTTTTTCCAAATTAGATAATTATACATATGATCAAATGTACTTAGATTATGATAAAGCCTAATGAATCCTTCTGACAAAGTTTTCTTTTTTCCTTTTTTTTTAAAAGATGAACGGTAAGGGGATCTTAACCCTTGACTTGGTGTTGTCAGCACCACGCTCATCCAGTGAGCAAACCGGCCATCCCTATACGGGATCCGAACCTGTGGCCTTGGTGTTATCAGCACCGCACTCTCCCAAGTGAGCCACAGGCCGGCCTGTGACAAAGTTTTCTGATGGCTTAGTATCTTTCTAGATGGGTCAGAGAAAAGGATGCAAAAGAGGAATGCTACTTTAACAGAACTCCTATGGTAACTGAACACTCTTTCCTAACTTACTTCTTATTTTCTCCAACCTATTCTTCCCCCCCATTTTAGTTGGTTTTAGGGGTAAGTAAAATATGAATAAGAAAGAACAACGATCCCTTTCCTACCTCCTCCCAACCTCGATCAGGACCCAAAGCTAGAAAGACCCTACAGCTGCTCCTTGCTTGGCTGGACCCCTGATGTGTCCTGGCTCTAGTATCCTTACAGCAGCCACCGCAGCTCTATTCCTTCTCCCAGTCCTTTGTCCTCTCCACAGCCCCAGCACCAGGAGCATGCACTGCCTGCCACACCACAGTCTTCCACATTTTCCCTCCCAGTCCCAACAGAGCTGCACAGTAAGAGGGGCTTCACAAACCTAGAAAATCCTCTTCTGTTATTATGAACCCCATTGAGTGTTTTTCAAGTATTAACTTTATATTCTCTTTGCCAAGATACTTACATAGTATCCAAAGTGAAGACTCCAACAGCTAGCCATGAAAAGGGTGTGGCTGCAGGCCAGCAGTCCCTAGACAATTCCTTCCCTGCTAACACAAGGTGGCATTACCCTCACTGCTCCTAAACTCAGACTTGCCAGAATTCCAGAGCTGACTTTACTCAGGGATACTGATTCATTCTTTAAAACCATCTATGAGATATAGAGACTATCTAAAATGTTAAATGTCATGGTATAACTCTTGGAGGGAATCTTTATCTCTTATGCCACTGTTATTTAGGAAGGAGTGGGGGAGGCATGGTGTTCATCACTGTAGGCCTCTGAACTCCCTATAATTAGATTAACCACTTTTAGACCTGGGGCAATTATGACCTCCAAAGCAGGTGATCTAGTGAGCCTGCTTTTAAAGAATTACTGGAGGGATCTATGGGGCTCAAACCATCTCCTATCTCCCCCTTCGCTCATACAAAGCATTTCCTAGAATACAGCTGTCTGCAGCTGTCCCTGGGTAAATTGGCAGATCACAAAGTTGCTCTGTCTGGGGAGAGCAGAGAATCTGTGCTCCATCACTAAAAGAGCCAAAAGTATCCATACACAGTCTTAGAAAATCAAGGGGGAAGTGGGATCATAATCAGCACTTATCGGGGCCGGCCCGTGGCTCACTCGGGAGAGTGCGGTGCTGATAACACCAAGGCCCGGGTTCGGATCCCACATAGGAATGGCCGGTTCGCTCACTGGCTGAGCGTGGTGCTGACAACACCAAGTCAAGGGTTAAGATCCCCTTACCGGTCATCTTTTAGAAAAAATAATAATAATAATAATCAGCACTTATCTTGAGGATTACAGACATTTGAAAACATATGCCCTATCCACAAGATGCTATATATCATTAGGAATAACTATATTCATTAAATGCATTCTTGAAAGCTCATCCCTAAATAAATTTCTATTTTGAAATCTGAGACCTTAAGAAAGGTTTTTTTTCCTGATCATTTCATGAATACTTTGAACTTTTTTTTTCTCTTATAGAAATATTTAGTTATATTAACACAGGAAAAGCTATAGCAAGCCTTGGGTTTTTAAAGGAATACTCTACCTAACCTGCTGTCTTGCCCTAAAACTAAAAAGTGGGGAATTGTACATTTATCTCAGATTCAGTCCTTGCCATTCCCTCTTCCCTTAGTTCACTCCTTTGTGGGACAGAAACTATGTTTTATTTACCTTTGTATAACACATTGCCTTGTGTAGATTAGATGATTATTCAATTATAAAATTCTAGCATTCAAAAAAATATTTCATGACTGATTAGTTTTCTTAATAAATGTTGAAGAACTGTCATCAAATAAGTGTGTGTTTCAGAGAGGAAAAAGATCTTTAAAGCATTTTTCAACTTTTTTTTAGCACAACTGCTATATTTGAATCTGTGTTCCTTCCAAAATTCATGTTGAAACTTAATACGCATTGTGGTGGCCTTAAGAGGTAGGGCCTTTTGGTGAAGCGATTAACTTATGAGGGTAGAACTTTATAAAAGGTTGGTTATTGCCTTATAAAAGGGTTGGAGGGAACTAGCATAAGTCCTTTTTGCCCTTCTACCTTCTGCCATGTGAGTATGCAGCAAGAAGGCCCTTGCCACACACAGAATGCCAGAACCCTGATCTTGGACTTCTCAGCCTCCAGAACTGAGAGAAATAAATTTCTATTATTTATAAATCACCTAGTCTGTGGTATTTTGTCAAAGCAGCACAAATGGACTAAGACAACTCATAGTAAGAAATACATTTTATATCATAATCCTTTATATACATATAAATATGTATATATCTATCTGAAACAAAAGTTATAAACAACAAAAACACTTACCCTCAATATTCCTGATCCTTCGGTTGTTTTCTATTATGTCTTATTTTTTAAAATGCTGCTCATGACCCACTAGATTTGTGATTCACAGTTTGAAAAATATACATTCAGAGAACTATCATCTGGAAGCAAGTATGGAGGCAAACACAAATAAAATAAATTGAGAAAGAGTTTTTAAGTAATGGTTACTTACTTGGTTGGTGCATAAACAACACTGAATGGCATCTGTTGAATAAATGGAAGGAAAGGCCTGGGAGGAAAGGGAAAACACAAACATGTGGGATTTTTGCATTGGGTGCACTCTAAACTTTCTTCCCATACTAATATTAGTCCTTTAAAATCAATGAGCTTGAATATCCCATATATCAGTAATCCTCAAACTTTGGCATATACAAAATCACTGGGGGATGGGAAGGTTCTTCCTTAAAATGCAAATTCCCAGGTCTGGCCCAGGTGATTCAGTACACGTGGGGTAGAGCCAATGAATTTGCATTCTTAATAAGCACTCTAGTATTTTCTCTGCAGATGGTAAACAAGCCATACTTTGAGAAACAGTGACCTAAACCTGGGCTTCAGCTGGCCATTAGTTCCCTGCAACTTCTTAAGTTCCCGGAGATATTCTGAAATTCCCAGTGATTTAATTTAAAGCTTCCCTTCCAAAATCTAGGAATTGAGGATACTACAGTTAAGAATTTAACATTTCTCTGAAACAGCATCACAAAATTTTCATAAGGAGGTTGCTCATAAATAAAAATGTGGATTAGAAATTTACTTTCTCAAGGAAACTTATGCAAGTGTGGCATCAAGACTATTTTTTTAACTCAGGTAACACCTATCTTATTTTAATTTGTCTGAGTATATCATTAACACATGAGTATTAATAAATAAAAAAATGACTTTTGACTGTGTTGGTTTTGGCAACATATACAAAGAGAGCAATGTTGCACATTTGAACACTTCTAACAATTTTCTCTGCACTTTGACTTCATGGTGTCTCTACTATGTCTCACTTCATTTGATGACTTCATTTTGTTCTCAAATACACATTCTCAGCTGCAATCCTTACCTTTGAAGTCAGGCAGGCTTAGCTGGAATCCCACCTCTGCTGCTTGCTGGCTTATGTGACCTTGAGCAATCTACTTCTCCTCTCTTGGTCTCAGTGGGGATTATATATATATACACTATCCTGCATTTCTGTTGTGAACATTAGATGATATGTATCTAAAGCACTTAAAATGGTGCCTGCCAGTGGAGACCACCAAGCCACCACAGGAATCGCCCTGGGCTCTTCCGGATGGTGAGGGCCTTGGGCCTTGGCCCCGTCCACCCCCTCCCCCCAACCAACCCACAGCCAGCACAGCGAGGACCACAACTACCAAGCCATAGCAAGAAGGGCCCTGGGTTCCCGAGCTGGGGTGGTAGGGTGGGTGAGGGCTTTTGCCTCACCCCCCTGACATCTGCACCCAGCCCGGCAATGACCAAGCCACTGCTGGAAGCCCACCCCCTCACCCCCCGGTGGGAATGAGGGGGGTGCCACCGGGCTCAGTCACGCCCCTCCTATTTCCTCCTTCTTCCATCCCATTTCCTTCCCCTTTCCCCACTCCACCTCCCTCCCAACTGCTCCACAACAACATCCTAGAATGTAAAAAAATAATAAAATTACATTTTCTTTTTAAATAAATAAATAAAATGGTGCCTAGCACTTGCATGCACTTAAAAAGTATAGCTGCTATCATTATCATAAAGAGGTTCTCCAATAATACCAGGGATCAAATGTTCATTAGTAATTACTTCTACCTTTCAAAGTATTTATAGCGATTCCTTCCAGTAATTTCAGGATCTTCATAAACTTCTTTAGGCATCTGAAAAGAAGTGTCAGTTCTAAAATGAAGCGGAAAACATTATTCAAGTCTAAGATTTTCCACATATAATTTCTACTTAATTTTTCTGTCTATAAAGTAGGATAAACACAGAGTATGTCATACTGAGAGCCAAGTCTTCTATAACATGCATACGACTGTCCTACATCTTAGACTACATAGGGTTCCTTCCTGATCTGGGAAAACAGAACCTAGTAAGATGAAGTAAGAGTTGAGAAAAAGAGTAGATTTATGAAACCCCACATACAATAATAGCTCACTTTTAATTAAAAGCACATGAAAATAACAAAGTATAAAAAGACAATTTTTTTACATCTGGGTAGTAGACATTATTTTTAAATTTACTAAATATGAACTTATAAGTAATTAAAAGAACAAGGAATTCAAGAGATTAATCTATGTTCTTTATTTTTTAATTGAATCATAATTGATTATACATATTTTGGGGATTCAATGTTGACATATGCTGATCAAATAAATATTACTAGTATGTATATTGTTACAAATCGTACTTATTCTTTATGCCCCTTGTCCAATCTCTCCCTATCCCCCTCTCCCTCCCCACTCCCACCACTGATAACCCTAGATTTCTTCTCTCCCTCTGAAAGAGTAATGGTTACTCTGTTGATCTGTTGCCTAGATGATCTGTCCAATGCTGAGAGGTGTGTTCAGATCCCCCAATATTATCATAGAGCCCATGCTTTTTCTGTCACTCTGGAATGGGCTTTGTGGAGAGAGACATCCTGTTCTTTCCTTTGGTCTCTGCTGGTGACTTGTGTCAATGCACTCCAGTGGCTGATGGACCACCTGCGTGGTGGTTGTGACGTCTAGCCACTTTTGCAGCACCTGTGGTTACTGTGGTGGCTGTGGTGGGCCACCTACACGGAGGTGATGTTTTTGGCATGCTTCTTGGAGCTGGTGGTATGCCTGGTTGTGGGCAGGGGGTCCAGTCCTCAGCTCCAGACACCAGGCTCCTGGGTGGGGCCCCGAGGTGCTGGCGGTATGCCTGGTTGTAGGCAGGGGGTCCGGTCCCTGGCTCCATACCTCAGGTCCCCTGGCAAGCCCCAAGGCACTCGTAGTGTGCCTGGGCCGGAACTAATTTTTTGTCCTTTGCTTAATTCTTTTTTTTTTTTTTCTGACCGGTAAGGGGATCGCAACCCTCAGCACGGTGTGGTCTGCACCACACTCAGCCAGTGAGTGCACCAGCCATCCCCATATAGGATCTGAACCCGCGACCTCAGCGCTACCAGCGCCACACTCTCTGAGCAAGCCACGGGGCCGGCCCCCTTTGCTTAATTCTAAAATGGGGGAACTTCCTGTGGGAACCAGTACTTGAGCTATGTGGTTGAGCTAAATTGCTGCTTTGCTGCTGCTTCACTAGGGAAGACTTTTTGTGCAGCTCAGGTTTTAATGGCTTACCTTATAGGTACTTCTCCAGAGACCAGGTGCACCTGGGTTGTGTAGAAACTCTGATCTGGGCCTGAATCTTTTCATCAAACTGCACCTCATACAATTCTGCATTCCCAACCAGTCTCCTCTGAGTGGTCCTGCGCTGATTGGGGGGAGATCGGCTGTCCTTGCTGTGTCCCATTGTTCCCCTGGTGGGCCCGTCTCCCTCACTGCCCGTGCTCCAAACACTTCCCATGGGACGGGCCTTGCACTGGTCTTTTGCGATGACAGTCTAGCCTCTGAATGGCTCCCCTTTTTCAGCTGTTTGGCTTCTTGCTCCTGTGTGGGTCCACAGGAACCCTATTAGTGGTCTTGCTGTCCTGGGAGCCACCAAGGCCCCCTTCTCCTCTGCCACCTCCAAGCAAGTCCATCTGAAGGGCACAGCTGCAGCTTCTGCCAGCTCCTGCTCCATGTGCTCAGCAGCTCCAGCCTTAAAGCAGCCATGGCCCTAAATGCTCTGAGCAGTTTTTTTCTCTCTCATCATGGCTTCTCCCACCCTCATGAACTCCTTAGGTCTCTCCTCCTCTTCCTCTGAGCTCCAGCTGCCCCAGCTTGGCTGCTGTTACATTTTTATAGTTGTAAATTGGTTGATTTGTGGGAGAGAGTGACGCTAGGGACCATCTATTCCACCATCTTGACCAGAACTCTCATCAAGAGACTAACCTCTGAAGGTGCTTTGGCTAGAAGTCTCCAAAAAATATTTTAGATACTGGCAAAAGGAGAACTTGCAATTTTTAAGACAGATCAAAGGAATGACAAACTCAATCACCCTGATCTTTGGTGGCAAGTTGTCATTTAACATAAATATTCACACCAACCTTCTAGGAACATTTTTTAAACAATAAACTGTAACCATTGCTCCTTAATCAAGCTTGTTTTGGTCAAAGGGGTTTAGAGAGAGAATTTGATGTAGGTATAACATCACAACAGTACTTGTAAACCGTATTTGTAAATCATTCAGACTAAGTACATAAAATTTTTAAAGGAAAAATATACCCATTAAAAACATGAGTAGTTTTAGGAGCTGGAGCCACCTGACACCTACCTGGCAAGCTGCCAGAGGGCTTCTTTGTGTTTTTCCTCATGTCCCCTCCATTCCCGACTGATGAATGGTGGGACAGGATCGGACTTGCTCCAATATACAGAATATCTTGGATAATGGATCAGGTCACTGAACATGGTTCTAAATCCAGGAACTTTTCTCTAATGTTAGGAAAGAGAGGCAGGGAGGAAAAGGACAAAATTATACATCAGATTTTCTAAAGCATTTTGATTAAGTTGTAAACTCTAAAAAAAGAAAAAGAAAAGGTACAAAACAATATATATAGCACAGGAAGAGAGGATATATGCATAGATACATAGAATATCTCTAAAAGGATGCTCAAGAAACCAATTACAATGGTTGTTTACGTGGAGGGGGCTAGGGCCAAAATTTACTGCATATTGTATATGCTTTTGTACTACTCAAATTCTTCTAACACAGGCATATATTACTTTTTCCACTGAAATAAGTTAATTTATGGGACCTTTATTCACTAATAAATTAATTCTTACAATAGGTTATAAATATTAAGGTGCCTTGTCCCTAGTAATCATGGCAAAGTAATTTCTGCAGAACCTAAAATCCAGTGGAGCTTTGGGAATTAGTCAATCTGATCAGTGCAGTCAGGCAAAATAGAATGGTTCAGGTTCATTGGGTTGATGCTATGGGTCAAATATCTCCCCCAAAAGTTCATGTACTGGAAACTTGATCTTCATTGTTAACAGTGTTAAGAGGGTGGGAAATCTAATTACAGTATTAGAAAGGCAGGGCCTTTAAGAGTTGATTACATTGTGAGGACTGTGCCCTTGTGAATGGATTGATCCATTTATAGAGTGATGGGCATGGTTCTGATGGTTTTATAAGGAGAGCGAGTGAGAAGGTTAGCTTTCTCTTGCTCGGGCCATTCTCTCGCCACATGATACTCTGGTCACCACAGGACTCTGTAGAGTTCTCACCCAGAAGAAGGCCCTCACCAGATCTGTTCCCTGGACCTTGGACTTCCCCTACTCCAAAACTGTAAGAAATAAATTTTGTTTCTTTATAAATTACCCAATTTCAGGTATTCTGTTATAAGCAACAGAAACAGACTAATATAGTTGCCTTAGTGGATGAATTAGACATACCAGTCTACTCCGAATCAGGGTGGCTTGGATTTGTGCTTGTGTGTGGTCTTTCTCACTTGACACAATAAACAATGGATCTGTGAAACAAATAAAGTAGCATAAGGAACAGAACATATCTACTCCTAGGCTGAGAATAATGGGATAGCAATGTCATTTCTTCATCAGAAGACAAATCAGAAAGGTTAGATATTGTCTACCTCTGCAGCAGATCATGGTCCTGTTACTCTACCAGATCTACCAGTGAGAATCTGTTAGATGCATTTCATTTCTGTGTAATCAAAGTGAGCTTATGGAATTGGAATGCAAACAGAAAGCCCAGCATGTCCTCAAGCACAATACCCTAAATATTCTCTCCTCTCTCCTATGAATAAACCTCCTTCTGGGTCTGTGTAGCCCAAGAAATACTTGAAGAGGAAAGATCTTGTTCACTATGTCCCTTTCCAAGTGAAAGAAACAATAAATTTAGGCACTATCGCCCATATTCTGAGCACCAGGAAGATGCCAACAGCATGACACCTCAGAATTGGTAGAGATGGTAAGAAAATATCGTTACTAGTAAGAGATCAATCAGCTCAGCTATCTTCAGAATTCACCACTTAAGTACATAAGTATGTTGGTGATGGGCCTAAGTTATTTCTCCAAAGTTCAACAAAAGATTGCTCTGCTCTTGCAAGTACCTGCTTAGTTGGGTATATCCTGAAAGTGAAGAAAAGTATTCATGATGGATTACACCATCCCTTCAAATCAACCAATTTTACATTAAACTGACAAGCAGTCTTCATACACAGACTTGATTTCCCAAATACACTTAACTCTGGGGAAACAAATACTCAGACCTGCTAGTCTAGATGACTTGGGAACATATTTCTCCATACAAATTAATAAATTAGTGTTGAGATTTAGAAATAAGTTTCTTGAATTTGGATAAAATTTTTGAATTTTACCAAATTCAAAAGAATGAATCAATTCCTAAAACCTAGTAACTCCTCGGTTATCCAACAAAAACAATTTTTTGGATGCAGACATTTGATATGAGTTTGAATTGGGAACGCTGAGTCTTCAAGTCTGTAAATCATTCCACACTTTTTTGTATATCAAAACGCCCGGAATAGGTTTCAGAAAGATCGCTCAGGACTGAGCAAATTATCAGGAAAAGAGGAGTAAAGGCGGCCCCGCGTGGTGCTGCCAGACACAGAGCGCACCCGCGGCTTCAGATGCACCCCCGCCACCCTCCGTCCCCCTCCTCTTCCCCGGAGCGCGCGGCCACCAGGAGGGAGGTCTAGGGAGGCCCTTACCGTACAGGAAATCGTACGCTCGACTAGAGGAGACCTTGCCCCCGGCCCCCCACCTCTCGCCGCACTGGGGTCGAGACACCAGCGGCTTGGCCTGGGGCTCCTCGATGGTGACTACGTGACTCATAGTGTCGCCTCTTTCTTCAGGCCAGCCAGGGACCAGCTAGGGAGGCCTAGCTGCTGCGTGCACCGTAGCTATGGTAACCACCGGCGCACGGGGATAAGGGGCGGGGCGGAGATAAGGGAGGAGGGGCGGGTCGCGGAAAGGGGCGGGGCGAGGCGCAGGAGAGGAGGGGGTGTAAGGAGCGGGGGGTGGCGGTGGGGGAGAGAATAGAAAGGAAGGGCAGGCTTGGGGAGAGGAGGCTCGGCGGGGGGGGTGGAGGGTGAGAAGCCACCTCCCTTCCCACTGCACTTCTGAGACAGGGCCGGGAGCTTTCCAGCCGCCCACCCAGGGTCAACGCCGAGGCTGGGGAAAAGGCTACACTGCAGAAATACAGCAGGGATTTGCCAGTTACACCTGGAACCCTCTTTTGGAAATCCCTGGGACATCTCAGAACCTTCTAGAATGGTTAGGTGCTTTCATTTCGGAAAGCCCCTTTCCACGGGGCTTGTCCTGAGAGTTGAGGAATCCACGCCTCAGTGTTAGCACGCCGTGAGCTCGGGCCGTACGGACATCGCGTTTAGGGTGGACTAGGTAATCAGAAATCGTTGATCTGCACACTGCGGTCCCTTTCGGAGTCCCGGGCATCAGATCAACTGAAGATGACGTGGTTAGGCACTGGTTCTGCTTTCAAAAACTATTTATAATGGAAAATTTTAAGCATAGGCAAAAGTGACTCCATTTTTAATAATGAACTCTCATGCATCACCCAGAATCAAGATTTATTAACATTTTGCCAATCTAGTTCAATTAATTTCTATTAATTTTTCTCCCCCCTCTCCTTTTAAAGTAATTCCAGACAATATTATTTCACCCTTAAATTAATCTGCATTTCAAACTGATACGGATTTTTAAAAACTTAACCACTGTTATCATATCTAACAAAATTAACAATTCTTTCATATCATCTGATACTTAGTACATATTCGAATTTACATGGTTGAATTCAGGATGTCATTTATAATTGGTTCGTTCTAGTCAAGATCCCCAAAAAAGTCCTCGTGTTGCATTTTGCTATGTCTCTTAAGGCTTTTATTCTAGAACAGTGAATTTTTAACACTTTCAGTAATTCTCTATTAGAGATTCTTCTATAAAAATAGATTTCTTGAACCAACTTACTGGTTATCCTGAAATACAGATCATAGAGGAAAGACTGGATACATGTTGGGTTCTTTCTCTTTAATTATCAAATTTCAGAGAAATGAGTTGGTACTCTAGCAAACTCCAGCGTTAACCACAAACATTTGTTTAGCATCATTAAGAATGCATGCATTTTTACATATCTGATGTTTTAATCCATCGTGATCATTGTTCTTTATGATGCTCAAATAATCCCATTAGGCTAGCGGCACGCCTCAGAGTGGGCTTTCTTTTGAATTGATGGGAAGACACTTGAATAAGCTTCCTGGCCTGTTACTCTTTCTGTACATACTCCTGGTTTTAACCTATTGTCTGTGCTCCTAAACTTCTTGAGTTTTTTGTAAATCAGCCATGTACCTTTGTTACTTCCAAATCTTTGCTCGAGCTGATTCCTTTTCCTAAAATGCCTTTTCCTACTTATGTTCCTGACAAAGATTATTTGCTTGTTAAAACTTTAGTCAGACTCCTGAATCTTACCCTAGGCCCATCTATGTACTTTCCTGTAAAATCCAGCTTTAATGAAGAACACTGCTAAGTCAATCTGGCAAGAACCCCCCACCCTCAATATCTGATCACCCTCAATGTCTGATTGGGTTCCTCATTGTCCAACATCCCCTAGGTGAGGTCTGAACACCCAGGCCTGTCTTCAGCAAGAATTTTGTTGGTTGGTTTATCCAGAATTGCCCTTACCCTTGATTTTTCCTCTTAGCAACTTCCCATCCACTGATCCACCACCCTGCTCCTTGGCTCTAAATTCCCACTTGCCCGTGTTGTATTTAGAGTTAAGTCCAATCTCTTTCACCCACTGCAAGACCCCACTGCAATGGTCTCTATACCTATGGCGATGGTTCTAAATAGTCCATCTTGCAGTGCTTTAACAAGTATCACTGAATAATTTCTTTCAATACCCCCAACTAATTTAGGTATCTTTCAATACTCTCTGTGCAGTTTTCCCAAATCCCCCCAGTACATCTTGCAGTGCTTTAACAAGTATCACTGAATAATTTCTTTCAATACCCCCCAACTAATTTAGGTATCTTTCAATACTCTCTGTGCAGTTTTCCCAAATCCCCCCAGTACAGAAAGATGTTATTCTTTCTTCCGATGCTGTAATATCACTGAAAACATTGATCACCTTGTATTAGTAATTGTTTGCAACCCTGTTCCCCGCGACTTTGAGTTCATTGAGGGCAAAGGCCTTCACATGGTCATTTTTGTATCTTTGAAGTATCTGGTACATAAGAGCTTAGTAAAATGGTTACTAAATGAATAAATCCATCCATTTGTTAAACGTATTTACTGAGTACTACATAATAAGTGTTCTGTGATAATTTTTACAGCTCACTGGATGATGGAAAAAGAAGACACAGAAACAAATAAAATACAATGTTAAAATGGAATAATGTTTTTCTGTCTGTGGATGTAGCTGCATTTCTCAGGGTCTCACACTTTCTGTTCCTTCTTCTCAGAATACTTGCTCCTCTCTCCCACCCCCAACCCTCCTCTTCTCACACTGGCTTCTCATCATTTGGAGTTAAATAAAACGTTATCTCCTCAGAAAGACTTTTCCTTACTCTATCAGATAAACTATCTGAAGTAGCCAACAGACAGCCCCCTCCATAAACACATCTGAAGACACTATTATATTACCTTGATTTACCTTTTTAGAGCACTGAAATTTTCTTATTTATTTGTTTACTCATTTATTTTGTCTCCTCCCACCAGAACGTAAGCTCTCAACTTAAGACCACAGATCTTAAATGTCCTGTTCATGCTGAATACATCCAAAGTCTTTAGGTCAGCACCTGGCACAAAGCAGGTGCTGAAGAAAAAATAACTTGAATGAATTGATCTACTTAACTATTCATCTATTTACCTGCCTGCCATCACTGGCCTTCACTTTTATCTCACTACCAATTTCATTCCTCTGCAATCTTGAGGACATTCCATTTCAAGTGACTAAACATCAACTAGTCAAACTCAGTACTTCCTGAGTAAAATTGTGACTTTTTTTTATACTGCAGATACTCTAGTGACCTTTATAATCAAAGGTTTGAGTCCGGGTTCTAACTGTTTGGATGGCCTTCGGTAGTCACTTTATATCCACTTAATATCCATCAGTTTCCTATCACTAAAATGGAGATAAATAGCAATAATACCAAGGAATATTATAGGATAATACCTACAAAGGACTTAGAACAGAGTCTGGTAGAGAGTAAGTTCCCAATAAATATTAGATACTATTCTTCCTAAATCCAACTATCTTCCCAATTTCCATTTCTGTCATTGCACATCATGAGTTTCCCATTTACCTAGAATTTAACATCAGCATTCATCTTAAAATCTGTGAGCATACAAAGGACAAATGTAGGGCTAAAGAATAGGAATGACCGTTAAAGATATAATCCATATACTTAAACACTTATTCAATACACATGCCTTGCATTTAGTAATTTTAGAAAACATGTAGGTTCAATCAGGGAAAAAATGGTATTTTAAAACAAAATTTCCAGTTAAACTGGCTTATTATGTAAAATTTTAAATTTACATTTTAAAAAATAGCATTTGAATTTGGTTAGTGTTTCAGCAATTTATTGATGTTTGTTATAGATTTTGGTTTGTGGACTCACATCTGTAGAAAGGAGAAAATACTCTCCAACCAGGAATTAAAATACACACGTGTTTGGTCTCATTTTTTGTATATAGTTCACCAACTTCTCTTCATTTGTGGATGTGTTCCACACACTCTCTGTTTTAGGTGTGTCTTTTGATAATCAATCTGTGGTGGACAGATTCTTAAGGTAGCCCCCAGGACCCTGGCCTCTTGGTATTCATGCTCCTATGTGATCCCCTCTCCTTGAGTATTGACTTACTTTTGACCAATAAAATATACCAAATGTGATGGAATATATGTGGTTACTTGATTCTCTTACATAAGATTATAATGACCATTTTGCTGGGTTGCTCTTTCACTCTCCCTTCCTGGCTTTGAGGACACAAGTGGACATGTTGGGGAATCCCATGTGGCACGGAATTACAGGTGACTTCTAGGAACTGAGGGCGACCTCTAACTGACGGACAGCAAGAAGCCAAAGCCCCCATTCCTACAACAGCGAGAAACTGAATTCTGCCAACAACCTGAGTGAGACTAGAAGCATATCTTTCCCCAGTAGAACCTCAGATGAGACCGCAGACTCAGCCAAATTCTTGATTGCAGTCTTGTAAGACCCTAATCAGAGGACCCACTTAAGCCATATCCAGATTCCTGACCCACAGAAACTGGGAGATGAAATATGTGTATTATCACTAGGTTGTGATAATATTGTTACACAGCTGTCTGTCTCTTTGGATTGCTATAATAAAATGTCATAAACTAGGTGACTTAAAGAACAGACATTTATTTCTCACAGTTCTGGAGGGTGAGGAGTCTAAGATCAAGGTGCCAGTCAATCAGTTCCTGATGAGGGCCCTGGCCCTTTTTCTAGCTTGCAGACAGCTGCCTTCTTGCTGTGTCCTCACATAGAAGAGAGAAAGGGGGCTCTGGTCTTTTCCTCTTCTTATAAGGGTACTAATCACATCGTGGAGGATCTATCCTCATGACCTCATCTAAACCTAATTACTTCTCCATATACCACCACATTGGGGATTAGGGCTTCTGTATCTGAATTTTGGGAGGACACAAACATTCAGTCCAAAGTAACAACAGTAAAAAACTAATACACAACTTTTATGAAGTTAGGTTCTGTGTCACTTAATTTACCTGTGTAAAAGAAACTTTGATATTGGAGAGAGGTGCTAGTTAATAAAATTTAATTAAAATGAAAGTT